AGATACTTTAGAAAAATTTTAATAAGATATAAGATACAAGATACTTGTATTTTTTAAAAAAAGTATCTAAGATACAAGATACTTTTTTAAAAAACGTTAAATAGTCAAAATCAAAATGTATAAAGAAAGCTTTATTTTCTTATCTATAATATAAATTTATAAAAAAATATTTTAAATAAATTGTAGAAAATAACAAATTTATTATAAAAGATAATGCGATATTCCATTTAATAATTATATAATTAGTAAATAATAAAAAATCAGCATCATAAATCAGCATTATTTTTTAATATCATTAATTTTTCAAATGATTTATAGTTCAATCTTTGACTATTTAGTTTATTAACCATATTAGCAAAGCTAAATAATCTTTCAACGGGGGCTGAGGAGGGTAATATTGTGTTATATTTAATAAATATTTCTTTTATATATTTATAACTATTTAACATATTTATACTCCGCCTGTCATCTTTCATATAATTTAGGACCTCTATTTCAATATCATTTATTGAATTATTAGAATTGTAGTGGTACTTTTAAGGCAAAAGTAATCATCATCTTCATCAATTGAAGATTTTGTTGAAATATTAATTTCAATATTATTTTTAAAAACAATTAAAACTTGTAATAACAAATCCTGAAGGTATTTTTTTTCTTTTTCACCATCAATCCAACGAATTTTAAAATAGGGATGAGAAATAGTTGCCCAAAATGCACTTTTAAAATTGTTATCAAAATCATATATATTTTTAAATCTTTTATTTAAATAATTTTCTATGGCAACAGCTAATGGTTTGCAAAATTGTTGATTGGTTTGAATTAAATTTGTAATTTTTTTTAACGACATTTAAAATTGGAGCTGATTCTCCATAATAGCAGTTGATTTCACTTTGTATTTTGTCAATCGCTATAGCCAATGGGGCCATTATATTGCAATATTCTTCTAAATTTGAATTTCAATATCTCTTAATTTAGGAAATTCTAATTTTTGACATAATTTAGGAAGTACGCCTTTAAATTTTAATAAACTATGAAGACTATCATACAAACTATTCCATCTAGTGCAACAAGGTTTATTCCTAAAACTGCTTTGATAAGTTCTGCAGTTTTAGGCCTATTATTTGCATTCCATAGCTTAGTACATTTAGCTATTGCAGGATGATGAATTTTAGAAATGTTAGGAGAATCCTTAATAGCTCTCTTGGCAATTAGACTTATCGTATGGCACAAACAACAAATGTGTTGAGGCAATGTTATTGAGGCTTCTTTAGACCCTTAAATAAACAAATAAATAATTTTATTAGAATAAAATTTTTTACTAAATTTACAATATCATAATAAATTTTAAAGAAGTATTAAATATTACTTTCAATGATTTCGAATTCTATACATTCATCATCATTGATGTCAAAGTCATTCTCTACAGCTTCCATAGAATATCCAAACTCCTTGAAAGCTTTCTTAAAGTTAGAGCCGTTATCTGTAACAGTTGCTATAACTTTTTCGTCAATACCAAAGTTACGATGAATTTCTTTATTATGATCATCTTGAAGTACTTCAAAAAATATGCCATTAAGTATGCTTAGTTTAAATTTATTGTTATAATTTTCGGTTGAAGATTCATCTGAAGACGAAGATAAACATATTATTCTATTTTCTTCTTCCATAATTTTAAAATAGACAGATATAAAACGATTCAAATATGGTAGTTCTAATTGTTAGCAAATTGCTATATGACGACCAACGTCATATATCAAAAATTATCTTAAAATATCTAAATTTTGATTAAATTTTTCATTTAAATCTTAAAACAATATCATTTTAAATTTTAATACTATTTAAATTAACCAATATAAATTTTTTTAAAAATATCTGTATCTTTTGAATACAAAGTTGGTTAAGATACAAATACTTTTAAATATATCTTAGATACTGGATACAAGATACTTTCCAAAATTTTAAAAAAGATATCTTAGATACAAATATCCTCGATGCTGCCCAACCCTGCATATTTTATATATTTATAATATTATTTACCTATTTAATATAATTTATTAATTAACATCATATAAAGAAAAATTTATTAATTGTATTAATATATATTTAATAAATACCTTAATCAAATATTTAATATAATTACCTAATTAATATTAAAATCAAATTTACCTTTTTAAAAAATTAATTATTTGCTAATATATTTTGACATCATATCATATCAGTAAATATTCAAATAAAGTATCCCATGACCGGAAAAAAAATATACATAATTAATATTAAAATCAAATTTAATATAAATGGTATTAATATAAATTTTAATAAATATATACTTGTAATATTTAACATAATATAATTTTAATAATTTGATATAAAAAAAATATCTAAATTGTATTAATATAAATTTTAGTAATATATAATTGTAATATTTAATTTAATTATAATATAATAATTAATATTATTTACATAATTTACATATAATTAATATAGTATAATTTATATTATATATTTATAATATTATTTACATATTTTATATATCTATAATATTATTTATAATTCAATATTATGAGCAATCAGCTTGTTTAATTGAGCATATTAAGCTTAAGCAAAATTTAGCAAAAAGTCACGCGACCAAAAACAAAAAAAAAGTATATCATGCGGCACGATACCTCAGATATCTTCCCCGTGGTTGAATAAAAAAATAAACGGCCCAACTGTTAAGAAGCTATGAATTATAGAATTTTGAGAATAGATTTTGTTTCACACTTTTAAATATTTTTTTTCTTTAAATTTCCACACTTTACAACATAACACAAATCTAAGAATCAGAATTATGATGATTATTATAATAGCTATAAAAAATAAAAATCATTAAATATTTTAATATGCAAAAAAAAGCAAATGATTTATAAAAAATAAATGTGATATTGAAATTTATTTTTAAAATAAGCAATTCACACCAATCAAAAAACAGCCAGTACTTAAAATTTTAGATATTGGTTAAAATAATGGCGGTAAAATGGAATATTAGAATAGACCGTCTATATCATACGGGGGGGGGGGGGGAGAAGAGGGGCAGAATTAGCCTTTCACATTAAAAATTTACAAAGTTTGGTATTTAAAATAAAATCTGATTCCCATATACTTTCCCTCTCCTCATCCTTCTCTCTCCGTTAAAATTTTTAAAAAAAATACAATGCAAAACTTTAGAAAAAAAGAAGTGCGCCACTGTATTTTATTTGGTTTTTTAATAGGGTGCTCTCAAAAACTATTTAAAAAAAACTAAATTGCCTTTTTTGTTGTGTTAATAAGTGCTAATAAATGTTTTACCACTTTAAATTCATTTAAATTTTTTAGAAATTCTAATTAATTTTAGACTTAAACATTCTCTAACTTAAGCCAATGACTAAAATTATTTTAAAAATAGTATACCTAAAGCTATTCAATAAAATGTGTGAGGAAAAATACCCAAAAGTTACTCCCCCCCCCTCCCCACATTACTTAAAAAACATAGATACCCTTATGGTTATGTTAATATATATTGTCATTATTTATACCTTTTATATAAAGATAATCTATATTAATTTGTTTATTTTATTGATTTTTTATAGAGATTTAATAAATAGAATTTCAATTAATAAAAATGAATATGATTACAAAATTATTACATAAAATATTCCATCAGATCTAATATGAAATGTTAGAATATAAAGAGTCAAATGTGAATAACTATCTGATTATAATCGAAATATCTTATGATTTAAATTTTATTAAAAAATTCAATTTTAAATATTTTATTTTTTAAATAGATCATTATATGGAAATATTAGCATTTTATGATGAAGAAATACGACTAACTTGTGATTACAAAGCTTCTATAAATAATTTAATTGATAAGAAGGACGATATTAATGATATAAATACGATTTGGTTAAAGGATGGATGCCATTTAAATATGAATAGTCATATTATATACGAAAATAATGTAAAAATATACATATTGCATAAATTAATCCCAAATTAACTAAAATGAAATATCCCCATAAATACAGATTTATGATATGCATAGACTGTTCATAAAAAAAGTTGAACGAATTGAAGCCTAAGTTAGCCCTACTTTGTTTAAATGAACTCAATGCAATGTGGACTTAAAACAGCATGTTCGGATTGGTTCGGGTTGTGCACTTTAATATGTTAGTGTTTAATTCAATTATATTATAAAATATTATTATTTAAATAAATATTATAAATAATATATAAATAATATTTTTAATTTATATAAAATTATGATATATTTTAGTCTATATATATGAATCATGTGGGATTCGGAATCCCAAAGTTGGGATTCGAGATCTATCGGAATCTTTTCCGAATCCCCATGTAATACAAATTTAGTTGCTTATTGGGAAAAACAAATAATATAATTGCTTTTTCTTTCTGCCGTCTGGCTGGCACCATATAATTAAAATGCCAAAATAAGGGATTTAAAAAGAGAATGTTTATAAAAGTAAATAGTATAAAATTAAGGCATATAATGAATGAAAAGGGATAAGGTTAAGACATTTTGTTTTTGTAAATTTTTGTAAAATATTAAATATTTTCACATGATAATATATTTTAAAAAAATTTGAATTTAAAAAAAAATTATTTATTGCAACAATTTTTCAAAGCTATATGACATTTCGTTGAACATTTTAAGGTTGTTCTTGAAACACATGCACCTTTTATTCATGTAACCCATTTTGCAATTGCATAACGATGTTTTCCCATAGTTTGTGACATTCTGGGACACTCCTAAGGGTGGCTTAGTGGGTTATGATGTAGGCTTGGAAACAGAAGGTCCCAGGTTCGATCCTGGTAAGGAACGTAAAAATTTTCGGATTTTTCTTCGATGACTGATGTATAAAGACATATGGTAAAATGAATTTCAAAGCTTAGAGATGAGACCCCGGTCACCGACAGGCTTGGACAGCCGGGTGCTAAGGATACTTGTCCAATAAACAAAAATGAAGGGCACAAATGAAAATATGAAAATGAAAGCTAGGACGTTCCCTCCAAGCGACGCGCAGGATGTAGACCTTTATCCTGCGAAAAGAAAAATAAAGGTCAAAGCAAAGAAGACAAGGTTAGCAAGTTTGAATATTGGTACACTTAAAGGTAAGACGAGAGAATTGGCATCAATGTTGAACAAGTTAATATAGTGTGCACAAGAGACGAAATGGAAAGGTCAGAAGACTTTAATGATTGGAGATGGGTATAAATTGTATTATAATGGAATTGTTAGCAATAGGAACGGTGTCAGTATCATCCTCAGTTAAGATCTAACCTCCTCAGTAGTAGAAATCAGCAGGATCTCTGATAACTAATGAAGATAAACCTCTGCATTGGTCAATCAATACTACACATCCTTTCAGTATATGCTGTTCAACGGGTTGTAAGGAAGAAAAAAAGATTTAGAGCTATCTTTGATGAAACTGTAATGGATATCCCTAAGGATGACCTAGTTATAATAAATGGTAACATAAATGCGCATGTGGGAAAAGCAAGAGATAGATACAAAAGGCATCATGGTGGTTTTGGATATGGAGAAAGAAATGATGAAGGAGAGCATGTACTGAAATTTGCGCAAGCCTTTGACCTTGCCTTAACCAACGCTTACTATAACATATGAAAGTGGTACAAGGAAAACCCAGATAGATTACTATCTCTTGCAGATGATTAAAAGATGTAATAGACTGCAAAGTCATCCCAGGAGAAGATATTGCCGCGCAACACAAGCTACTAGTCATGGATTTACACATCACAAATAAATCCATTCAAAACAAGACAAAACTTGAACAATGCATCAAATGGGGTAGATTAAAAACAGATGCCTTTGCAATCAATGCAAACATTAAAACAATAGATTCCTCACAAGTCAGTGAAAAAATGTGGACAGACCTTTTATCCAAACTAATAGACACTGCCAAATCGACATTAGGCTTGACAAAGGGAGGCAACAAATCATGCAAAGAACTATAAAGATGTACAAACCACTATAAAAGAGAAAAGAGCCCTATATAAAATATGGTACAAATCCAAAAACCCAGATGACAAGACAAATTACAAAAAATCCAAGAGAATAGCTACAAAGGCGGTGGCTAGGGCTAAAGTTATGGCATACGATGACCTACATACCAAAGAAGGGCAAAATAAAATATACAGATTAGCCAAACAGCGAGAAAAGAATTCTAGGAATATAAACGGAGCTCTGAAAGTAATTAAAAATAAAGATGGAAATTGATAATAAAGGAAAAAGAAATAATGAATAGATGGAAAGAATATTTTAAGGAGCTTCTCAACTTTAATTCCCACATACTACATCTAGATGAACACTCCCCATGTCAAAACCTTGTACAACCAATAACAGAACAAGTAATAATCACATGCCTCAAGCATATGAAAAACAACAAAGTTAAGGGTCCAGATGATATTCCAATAGAAAGTCTTAAAGCACTAGGAGATGATGGAATACATCTCCTCACAAATCTGTACAATAAAATACTGGAAAATGAAGAGATCCCTCAAAAATGGAGGCAGAGCTATCTAGTTCCTATCTTCAAGATCCACACAATTGTCAAAATTACAGAGGCATAAAACTAATGTCACACTGTCTTAAACTCTACGAAAAAATAATAGAAAAAAGGTTAAGAGAAATAATCGAAATAGGAGAGACTCAGTTTGGAATTAGGCAAATGAGTGAAAAATACATGGAAAAGAACAAAAAGCTATACATGGTTTTTCTCGATCTAAAGGCCTTCGATAGAATCCCAAGAAAACTTATATGGTGGGCGCTAAGCTACAAAAAGGTTCCTGAAAAATATATAAGAATAATACAGGATATGTATATGGGCCATTCAACAATGGCCCGTAGCACAACTGATACTTCAACAGGCTTCACATAGCCGAAGGAGTTCATCAAGGGTCGGCTCTCAGTCCACTTCTCTTCATAACAGTAATAGATGTATTAGTACAGTTATATACCACAAACAGTCCTGTAGAATATGATATTTGCAGATGATATTGTGATACTTGCCGAATCCAAAGATGAAGTAAAAGAAAGATTAGTGAGCTGGATAAATATCCTAGAAAAGCACGGACTAAAAGTAAATAGAGAAAAGACGGAGTATATGGTGATAGGAGGAGATGAAACAGAGAGCATTGATATAAATAAATGGCAGATATCGACAATTGAAAGCTGCAAGTATTTGGGCTCCATTATACAAACAAACGGCACAATAGAGAAAGAGATAAAGAGTAAAATTAATCAAGGGTGGTTAAAGTGGAGATGTTTATCTGGACTGCTCTTTGACAAAAGAATCCCACAGAAATTGAAGGGAAAAATTACAGTTCCATAGTGCAACCAACTATTCTATATAGTTAGTAAACATGACCAACTAAAGAATCAGACGAGAGAAGTCTACAAACTATGGAGATGAGAATGCTGAGGATGATTGCTGGGGTAACAAGAAAGGATAAGGTGAGAAGTACAAGAATACTAGGAAGTTTAAAGGTAGTGCCCATTTAAAATAATGGTAAACAGACTTAGGTGGTATGGACATAGAATTAGAAGGCCTATGAACTACATAGGAAATAAGGTTGAAAGTTTGGAATTGATGGGTAAACGTAAAAGAGGAAGGCCTAAACTACAATGGGGCCATAAAGTTAGAGCCAATATTAAGAAGTATAAATTAGATAAACGAGATAGTATGAATAACATAAGTGGAGAGAGATATTGAAGGAGCTTACCACCAGAAAAGGTGAAAGCTAAAGAGAAAAAACAATGGATAAAAATAGTTTAGATTACCTATGATTGATATATCTTTGTTGGGAACTTCAAAATTATTTAATTTTATAGTTTTATATAGACTAGAGGCAATAAATGGTGCTGAAATTCTTCCAGCACACGTTCCTACCCATATTTTATTTTGTTCAATTTTTAATAACTTCCCATCTAAATTTTTAGGAATAAAATAATTGATTTAAATTATCAATAAATTTAAATTTAATATGAATTAGTAATCGTATTGGGCGGGATTTTTTTCATAGATTTTAAATTATTACATTTTGAAGAAAATTTATTTTTATAAGAATCGTAGGGTAGGATTTTTTTTATGAAATTTATAAATTATTAAATTTTGAAAATTTATTTTTGTTTTTTTACCCAAAATAGATACTTATAATTTTTACCCAAAAGAGATATAGTATATAATTATTTAGAATCATAAGACACCCAAATACAAATCTACCGAAGGAAATGTAGATTTTTTTAACAATTAGGCAAAGAGGGGATATTAAATAAAAATATTTAAATATATATTCACAGATAAGCCGTCACTTTTTTATTGTTTACCAATGGGGAAAAATATGTGAACGCTATATACATTGCTACTAACAAAGGTTTCAAACAAAGATTCGCGCTTTCAAATTGTTCATAATATTACTAATAGTCCTTGTTCAAAAAATATTGGCCATAAATTTACATGAAAAAATAGTTGTGCTACCAATAATATTGGGAATAGTATTTCTAATATTTTGAAAAGGGCTCCTTCTTTTATTTCATATTTAAATGATCGTGGGCGTCAAAAATAATTTATTCTGAAATAATTGAAAAAAATAATTTTATTTTAGGTGATCACATGTTATTACCTATCCATAGGACAGATAGAACTAATATCTATCTTAAAAATTTAGAAGGGAAAGTATTAAAAATTGAACAAAATAAAATATGGGTAGAAACTTGTGCTGGAAGAATTTCAGCACCTTTTATTGCCTCTAGTCTATATAAAACTATAAAATTAAATAATTTTGAAGTTCCCAACAATGATATATCAATCATAGGTAATTAGAGCTGTTTTTATAGTAACCACATATACTCCTCAAATTAATTCATGTATATAAAATATATTAATTTTTTATTAAACTGCTAAAACAATTTAGGAGCTTCCCGGAATGTCACAAACTATGGGAAAACATCATTATGAAATTGCAAAATGGGTTGCATGAATAAAAGGTGCGAGTGTTTCAAGAACAACCTTAAATGTTCAACGAAACGTCATATAGCATTGAAGAATTGTTGCTATAAATAAAAAAATTTTATAATTCATATTTTTCTAAAATGTATATTCAAGTGAAAATATTTAATATTTTATATAAATTTACAAAAACAAAAATGTCTTAACCTTATCCCTTTTCATTCATTATATGCCTTTTTACTTTTTAAAAACTTTCTTTTTAAATCCCTTATTTTAACCTTTTAATTATATGGTGCCAGCCAGACGGCAAATTTTTAAAAAATATATATAAATAAAAAAGATTCCGAATAAAACGTGGGGATTCAAGATCTCGAATCCCCACGTTGGAATTCCGAATTCATGATTCCATATCTCAATACGACATATATAAGTCGTAATGGAATAAGAAATTCATGGGGATTTTTTAATAAATCCTCTACCAAGGCCGATATTTATATTTGAGAAATCTAAATTGATTGGAAGTGTATTTCAGCATGCATATAGTACCCATGCTATGAATTTCAGGTACATTTGCCATGAACCTTTGAATGATTCTTAATTTATATTAATTAATCTAAATTTTCCACGTAAATTAAATATTTCAAAATTTTTTGACAAATTGTTTGAAATTCATAAGGCAGATACTCTACAAATGTTAGAATACATTTACAGTCAAATCAGATGTTTCAAAAATAAAATCACCCTTACTAAATGATTTAAAATTAAGATTGAAAATCCCTATGGATTTGTTTTAAGGTATTTATAAACTGTAGTTTTTGTTTAAATTTTTTTTATAATGTTTATTAAATATTATGTGAATGAGTAAAATAATTTTAGATCAGAGTTATTTTTTTAATCGAAGTGGGGCAACTAAAGAACATGTGATCAGTTATACGATATATGAATAATAAAAGTCATGCATATCATATGTTAATTGTTTAAAATAATCATTTATAAATTGCAAAATTTCATAATATTATTTCTTCCATCCACTATATTTCTAATAACCTCTTCAAACATATTATTTATGAGCTAGTGAACGATCTTGTAAATTATTTTCCTAGTTTTATTGAAATTTGAATGAGACCAAAGAACAGCTTGTCTAGCTATTATTTTATTTTCTACTATATATCTTCAATATAGTTTAAATCAGGGTGAAAACTATTCAAAATCAATGAAGATTTTGGATATCTGATGATAAAAAAAATAAAAAATTTTAAAATGAAGAATTTTTTTGAGTATGCTTGCTAAGCAGGATTATTTAACAAATTTTCCCCAAATTACAAAATAATTAGTGAAAAATTAATAGAAATTTGAATATTTTTGTTAAATCCTGATTTATATTATTATATTTTTTTTAATATACTTAAAATTATAATGAGGTAGGGGACGGGGTGATGCAGCTTTCTTTTTAGAATCTTAAAAGGGTAGGGGGTATTTTGGTTTTATGAAAATTTTTAACGATGTAAAAAATAAAAAATTAGTCAGATAAAAATTTATATTCTTAGCTCTGTTATTTTATATCTGGAAAAGTGTTCTCGTAAATATAATTTTAAGTCAACAAACCCCTACCACTTTCTACTTAAAATATATCATTATAAACAATAAATTGAAAGAAAAATAAACAGAAGTTAGTAAATTTTTAAAATAATGACTATAATTCAAAATTTATAGAAAAAATATTTTTATTTAAAAAACAAGCGAAAAATTATTCTTTAAAATATAACAATCAAATGCTTGCAAAATATGGACTTACAAACTTTCAATAAAATGCATGGGGAAAAAACTAATCTAATATTGCCCCCTCTCTAACAAAATCCTATTTGCGCCTATGCCGTGCAACCATGCTCTGCTAAATTGGCTATCGCTTATTCAAGAATGTAAAATTTAATAAATGGATCAAACATCTAAAATCAAGGGATAAGCTTAGTAAAATCTTAATGCTAAAAAAGGTCTTGAAGTAAAAAG